CCCCCTTCGGGCCAAACCAGCCAGCCCCACCCATGCATCAGGCCTCTATCCTATATAGTAAAAGGGTAATATGCCTCCCAGCACCGGGATCAGAGGAGCCGTGAGGCCTCTTGGCACTGGGATCAACATGATGGGTCAGCGCCCCAACCCCCTGATCGCCCTGCGGCTCTGTGTGTGACAGGCTGCGGCACCCCAACCCCCTGATCGGCCCTGCTCTGTGTGTGATAGGGTGCGGCGCCCCAAACTCCCCTCTCCCCCCACTGGCCCTGCTCTGTGTGTGACAGTGGGGAGCTTCTCAACCTTCTGATGGGCCCTGCTCTGTGCGTGACAGGGAGTGGCGCTGCAACCTCCCCATCGACCCTGCCTTGAGTGTGACGGGGCGGTGCCCCAACTCCCCAATCGGCCCTACCCTGAGCGTGACTGAGGGTGGCATCGCAACCTCCCAATCCGTCCTACTCTGTGCATGACAGGGGGCGGCGCCCCAACTCCCCAATCAGCCCTGCTCTGAGCCCGACCAGGGGCTGCACCTAGGGATTGGGCCTGCCCTCTGCCACCCGGGAGCAGGCCTAAGCCAGCAGGTCGTTATCTCCCGAGGGGTCCCAGACTGCGAGAGGGCACAGGCCGGTCTGAGGGACCTCCCCCCCGCCCCCACGAGTGCACAAATTTTTGTGCACCGAGCCTCTAGTAGTCAATAGTGTTGTACTGACAGTATGATACCAGGTGGGTACTGGAAATATCGGGAACACTTCGTAAAGTATATGATTGTCTAACCACTACTCTGTAACTAATATAAAACCTGAAACTAATACAAAATAATATCGAATCTAAAGAAATGAAAATAGGAGTGAAATTTTTATAAATTTCAAAGTTTAAATAAAGGCTGTAATGGAAGGAAGGGGGAGAATAAAAATAGTGGTTTTCATCTTACCACTTTATTGTCTTTTCAGTACATGAAAAAGACAGTTGTCTTTATATGGTGCTTTTATACTTTTCTAAGTCATTATCTTATTTGATGTTAAGGGCAACTTAAAGATAAGATAATTATTCCCTCCACTATTCAAAGAAAGGAAATCTTGTTGTCTGGCCCCAATGATTCAATCTTCAAGCCTTTATTGTAAAGCAGGGTTAGTGAAATTTTCTGTGAAGTGTCATATCTATACTAATAAAAAGCCTTGGGGGTGATCAGGCCAGCAGGGGAGGGCAGTTGGGGGCGATCAGGTTGGCAGGCAGAAGCGGTTAGGGGCGCGATCAGGCAGGCACACAGGCAAGCAGTTATGAGCCAGTGGTCCCAGATTGTGAGGGGGTTGTCTGACTGCTGGTTTAGGTCCAATGCGGAATTGGGCCTAAACCGGCAGTAAGACATCCTGTGATCAGGCCTAAACCGACAGTCAGGCACCCCCCAAAGGGTCCGAGATTGGAGAGGGTAGGGTGCAGGCTGGGCTGAGGTACACGTTCTCCCCCCCCCAAAATGCACCAATTTTGTGCACCGGGCCTCTAGAGTGTGTGTGTGTGTGTGTGTGTGTGTGTGTAAAGCCTAATATGCAAATTGTCCCTCAGGAGTTTGACCTGGAGACTGGGAGTTCAGTTGCTTGCTATGACGTGCACTGACCACCAGCGTGTGGTGTGGAACGAAGGATGGCCCTGGCTAGCAGCCAGAAGGCCCTGATCAGCCCTGATCGCCAGCCAGGCCTAGGGACCCTACCCATGCACGAATTTCGTGCACTAGGCCTCTAGTTTACTTATAAAACAAATAAGGTTTGCAGTCTTGTTTTTAGAGTCTTCAGTGAACTAGTTTTGAGTCAACTTCTGTTCCTGTGTTTCAGATTACCCTGCTATTTGTTGGGAATAAAACAATGAATGGGACATGATCCCTGTGTAGAAGTATATGCTCTCTAATAGTATTCTTTGTTTAGACTGGCAGTACCACTTCATTCACAGTACCTAGCATTGAGTATAGGTAGCAAGAATTTTTACCTAGCAAGAATTAATAACTGATTCTTGAGTTGAGTAAAGAAATGTTTTTAGTTACGTTACATTAATGCAAAACTTGTTAATGGATCTTTCTTGTTCAGTTTATATACACTAAGAAGAAATTATGCTAAAAACCCAATTAGGCTTCAGGTTTTTTTCTTTTTTAGTTTTTTCATTAAAATGACAGAGAGTGAGAAAGAAACACTAATTTGTTGGCCCACTTATTTATGCATTCATTGGTTGTTTCTTGCATGTGCCTTGTCTGGGTATCGAACCCACAACCTTGGCATTTCGGGAGGACACTCTAACCAATTTAGCTACCCTGGACAAGGCTGATTTCTTTTTTAAGCTTTTCCAAAGTAGGGAAAATGTAGGCAAAAAAGAGGATTTAATTACTTATTTATCATTTTAGCTATCTAATGGAATCCCTATAGAAAGCTGGTTTATGGATAAAAATGACAATGAACTCCTAAAATTGATTCCATTTCTGGAGAAGCTTGTAGAACTGGTAAGTATGTCTTAATTATCTTTTTCAGTTATGCTATTGGCTCAACTTTATTGAAATTGTTTAAATTGCTTTAAAAAGTCAGTGTGGTGGGAGATTAAGGGAAAGATTGAAAAGAATTATAAGCTTTATCAAACCTTAAAAATTACATTAAAATTTGTTTTAATGTATTTGTATTTTTATTGATTTCAGAGAGGAAGGAAGAGGGAGAGGTAGAAATATTAATGATGAGAGAGAATCTTTGATCGACTGCCTCCTACACGGCCCCTACTGGGGCTCAAGCCCGCAACCCGGGCATATGCCCTGACCGGGAATAATCAAATCATGACTTCCTGGTTCATAGGTTGAAGCTCAACCACTAAGCCACACCAATCAGGCCATAAATTATATTAAAATTATAAATATTTAAAAGTTTATAGATTGATTATTTTTATTTCACTGTGCTTCCTCTTGCAAGTCACTAACTACTTTTGTTAAATCGGTTTCATTTTGCTTTCATTGGTGTAGAATTATTGCTTATGCTACTAAAACTTTTCTGGGATTTTTTTTCCTATATCCATGGATTAGTTTTAAATTAATATATGAAATAGGATTCAATGGCTTAATGCTTGTATCTAACTTTTTGTTGAGCCATTTATTGCATAATTGTTCTTAAAAATTAAAACGTTGATGGCAAGTTTTTTTTACGTCTTAATTTAATTCTAAGTTAACTGCTTCTGTGTGGTACATTTATATTTGGCAAATAAATGAGTTGGAAAATAGGCAATGATATGTTTATCTGCAAAGTAAGAGTGTTCTACTGGGGCTCAAGGGATCATATTTTTGAAATTACGTGGCCTTTACAATGTCTCTTTCTTCGCACAGAATGAAGATGTTCGACCTCACATCAGAGACAGATTTCGCTTGCATGATTTGCTGCCCCCAGATTAAGTACAAAGACTTGTCAAATCATGAAGGGGGAGAGAATGCAGGACCCTTTTGGACTAAGACAAAACATTGCCATTACTGTTGAAATTTTGCATTTTTGTACCCCGTCTTGCTTTTCTTATCTTTGGTGCCCAATAATAATCAAGGGTTACAGAAAGAGACTTTATCTCAGATTGAATACATACAGTAGGTAGGCTAAAACAGAAGAGTCTTTAGAACTAGTGCAACTCCAGTGAAATTTTTTTATGTACAGGACATCTGCAGTTTATAAAGAATTCTGTTTCTGCCACCAGCAGTTTGACCTGTAGTCACACAGGATTTTATGATAATAACAGAGATGAAAATGGACTTTTTATTTTCTCTCTGTTTGGTGCTCTAAGTGGGTTTGTAGCCACTTTTCTGTTACTTTAAGATTCTCATTTCAACAGGAATGGCCAGTAAAAGTTGTTTTATTTTCCTGTTAAGGTTTATAACCTTTTTACATTTTTGACCTGTATTAGATTAGAATTTCATTATGCATTCCTTTTAGTTGAGGCGCTTCAGTTTTCTGGAAATAGTTTTTAGTTTTTTATTATATATTTGAATGGCCGTTTTCCTGCTTTGTCTGCCTGCATATTGTATATTTGTTTAAAAATATTCTCTACTTTTAGTCCATGTAAGTTTCATTTAGAAAGACATGCATTTATATTTTGTTTCTGTAATATTCTACTGTAGGTGAAATCTTTTCAAAAATCAAGAGACTGGGTAGATAAGAATATATGAGTAATATTCAGATGATTTAAACCATTGTGATGGCATGTGTTTCCAAATGGTAATATCTTGCAATGGCACACAGATTTAATGGATAAAGGTATACCTCAGACTTCACTGTGCTTACCAATCTTTGAGGAGAATGTGTTTGGTCACCTTTTGGGCTTGATTTGGTTACTGCTGCCTTTGGTTTCCTCCAGGAATGAAGTACTCAGCACAGTGATTCGGTATTTTTAATTATTTTGCATGGGCTGATAGTACCTCTGTTATGCTCTCGGTTACAATCAATTTAAAACTCTGTGTAACAGTCTTGGTACCTTACAGTAGCTATGCATAATCCTGTGGCACAGTAAACTCCCAAGCCACCAATGCAGTTAATATGCTCTCATAGTGGGTTTTCTATACTATATGAAAATAGTCTTCAAGCCTTGGTTCTCTAATGCAGCTACCACAAGAGGTTGATATTTTTATAGTGGCGTGTAATCTTCTTTTCGGGAGGCTTTTTATGGAAGGTAGAATTTGTAAGGTTAGTATGCTTTGCCTCTCAACTGCATTAACATCCCACAGGCTCAGACTGTTTTTGTGTAAAGGATGTCAAAGAACGGCACTTTTTCTAAAGAGAAGTTTGATATTTTGTATGCTTGTTAAGAAAGTACAGTATTGGAAATTAAAGGTGGACAACTGATAATTGAGGAGTATGTCACTTAATTTTTTATGTATATTACCTGTTTACTTGTACAACTTACTGTACAAATTACATGCAGCTTCATTTTCAAATGAATCCTTAAAATAAGGAAATCTTTTTAGGAAAACATTTAATTTTTGTATTTTTGATTTTAAAGGCATGAGTTATGTCAATTTTCAGTGTATTAATGAAAATTTTAACTTTTCATCAGGTTGAGTGTTTTCTTACTATATTATCTGTTGTGTATGTAGTTAGCATATTGTGTCACTGAACTGTTTAAAAATCTAGCATGTAGAGCAAGCCTGTTTTGTGGAAAATCCTTATTCATTAAATAATCATGGCAGGTTTTCTGCAAAAAAGAGCAGAAGCATTTGCAATTCAGAATACTGGTTTTTTTGTTTCGTTTTTGTTTTAATTTAAAGAAAGGTATTTTGCTTGCAGGAAAAAATACTACAGATTCATTTTAATGAGAATCTTTGAGATGTATTTATCTTTAGGGCATCTGGGCATCTTTATGCTGTTTGTCTTCTGTCTTTCTTGAAATAAAATGTACATACGTTACCTTTCCATATGCTCTTGCTCAAAATTGTGAACCTAGTTACATTTCTCCTTGCTCCCTTTTTATGCTCAAACAGCAAAATCCAAACTTATACAAGATCTAATCTTTCAGCATGCATTATAATTGCTGAAAGCTTTTCTGATTAAGTAAATACAGTCTCAAAGGGCTTTCCCATAACTTAAAGGGAAATGTAAGCACCTATACCACTGTGCCTGTGGGCACTTTAAATGAACACCCACTTTAATCATCTTGTTTTAATAGTAAAGTTGTTTTCAGTCCCGTGCTAGGGAGAGTTCCCTAAAATAGACTGACAAATGAATCAAGCATAACAAGATTCTGTAAAGAAATAAACTAAGGGAAATTTTGTGTGGCCTGAGAAAATTTCTTGAGACCAATTTATATATATATTTTTCATTACCTGACTTGAGTCATTTTAAATTTAATACAGAATTTTAAATAATTTATAGAGACAACTATTCAGCTTCCTTCCACGTTAATGTTTTATTGTCTCATTACCCCTTTTATCTGTTTATAGATGTTATCTTAAACACTTCCAATTGGTTAAAGCGGAGGTGTATATTTTATGAACCTGAGATGTGCCCAGCCCCTACAGTTCACACAATAAACACAAACTCTTAAAAACTGACTATAGTAAATGCAGGAGAGATGGCTACCTGTAAAGACACAGCAAAAGTGACCTATATACACATTACAACTCTGAAGTACATATTATAATTGTGATATTTCCAGTGATAAATGTCTGACTTTTAAGACATTCTTTTAAATATTTGTATTATTGTTAGAATGTTTTAATCAGTTATGTTTTTTAATTCCATGTAATATATGTAGCCCTAATAAGATTTATATCACCAAATTTCTCCTTGGGTTTTAAAAGAATTAATAACAATTTAAAATCATAAATTGTTTTATATTAGCTAGTATGTATATTTATTTACCCAATGGCTTTATCTTGTTTCCCAAAATTTGGGGAGAATTTGTTGAAAGCATTGTGACTTCTATAAATGGCTATTTTCTTGTAACTGTCCGTGAAAATGTATGTGTACTTTTTTTTTTCATTTCTCTGGTTTTTCTGTTTTGTTTTTAGGGTTAAACATAGAATGTTTTTTGGTTTTTTTTTAAGTTCTCTTTGGCCAATGACTTTTTCAGCTAGATATTACTTTCGTTCAACGTTCTAAAGAAGTTCATTTTTCATTGTTTTGTTCAGTCAACTTACCTGAAAAACAGAGACTTCATCTCATCAATGAAGAAAGTATTTCATTATTCCTACAAATCTTTACAGCGAGCACAGAATTCTTCATAATAAGGACCAGATCTTTTCCACATCTGTGTCAATCACAAAGCTGAAAAGCAAAG